GAGTGAGTGAGAGAGAGAGAGAGAGAGAGAAAGAGAGAGAGAGAACAGCATAATCTGCGCACGTGCGGACCAAGAGCACCTCGATCGATCGTCCTCGTCGCTGCAAAGAGTCGTTATGGCAGAGTACCGGTAGTGTCGCGGTTGGTACTAGGATCCGTACTACAGCACGAAAACTAGCAAGCACGTACTCGACGCTTTCGAGTATGCGAAATGGAAGAGTACAAAAAGGTTCTTCTTTTTGCTTGAAATTTACGATTTTGCCGTTCACCGAGCATGATAATGTATCCGATTTTTGCTAAAGCTTAATTTAAATTCTTAGCAAAAGTTAACGACGATCGGAAAATTGAAGAAAAAATATTTAAAAATATTATATATATAAAATATGTTTTATATAATATATAATTATGTTATATATATATTAATATTTATTATATTTAATAATATCTTTATATATTAATGATACTAATAATTGTTTAAATGTTTCTTTCAAATTCATATAAACTTAGGCGCTCTCTCGGATGTTGAAAGTAAACACTATCTACAGCATAAAATAATTTAGACAATATACACATGTTCTTTTTAAAGCGACCCACATTTTACCTCGCACTGAACGGTTAGCTGGAAAGACGATCAGTGACACGAGAAAAAGTACTTAGCTTATCAAGATGACCTCAATAAGCATCTAATCTCGATCTAACCGTATCCGAAAATGAAAAAATTATGTATATAGTGAAATAAATAGATGCAACTTTGGATATTATCTCTTATTGTATCTGCATTTAGGATTGAAAAATTACTTACGCAATTTCTGATGTAATACGTGATGTATTATTACAAAGAAACATATAATTATATGATATAATTATATTATATCATATAATTATAGTCGTAGAAAGCGTAAAATATTTGTTTCTCTTTTCACTTGTTTAATGATAGTTATTTAATGCATAATTTAAATGTGTCACATAATTATAATATAATTTGAATTGTATACTGTGGGATATATATAATTTGACTTTGTGATCTTTATTATCACTGTACTAATAAACAACTCGTGTTTAATTTATGCAGTATGATAAACGATGAACTACAAAAAAGTAGAATTATTCAATATACAAATAAGATTCATTTTTCAATTAACAAATATCCTTGAACTTTGTACTGTATTAAGTGATTCGCAATGAGAAATTTACGTTGGCAAGGAAAAGTTTCTGGTCGGAATCCTGCAACTTCATCAAGCTCACTGACGTTTTTAGGGTAAGTGGTA